TTGGACTATGTTATGACTGCCTGTCATGAGTATACCTTTTTCTTTTCTTTTGTTGACTAATGTCCTTCATACAAGTTTGCAGGAAGATTCGTCACAAAAATGTTGTGCAGTTTCTTGGTGCTTGTACAAAGCCTCCTAGCTTATGCATTGTTACAGGTATTATTTTTTGAACAACTTTGGGTTGCTACATTCTGTATATTTAACCAAGGATTTTAACATATGCAACTTCTAAGGACTCCTCTATTTTGTGTACTATTGTCACAAGGATTTTAACATAGTTCATTCCTTCTGTATATTCTGTACTATTGTCAGAGTTCATGTCAGGAGGAAGTGTGTATGACTCTCTTCATAAACATAAAGGAACCTTCAAGCTTCCAGTTTTAATTCGAGTTGCTACTGATGTATCAAAAGGAATGAACTACTTGCATCAAAATAACATAATCCATCGAGATCTGAAGTCCTCCAATCTTCTGATCGATGAAAACAAGGCAAGCTATTTGAGTTCATGCAATTTTCAATTCTGATAGTTGATAATATACTGGTACCTCTAAGACCCTCCAACTTGAACCCAGGTGAGGTTAACCATGAAAAGGTCTTGGCTGGCCACTCTATGGCTGCATGTGGCCCTTCTATGTCAGTGTATCATCCAAGCCTTTTTGTTTGACATACTTGTGTTTGCCACCATTATTGTGCTGCAAAATGTTAGAATGACATGTTGAAACACCACAGTCAATTTTGCTGCTGTATTGTTGCCTTTGTCTAGTCCTTAACTAGATCACTGGAGCCAGAGCCTCAAACGCAAAATTTTAAGTTGGTACTGCTAATGAAATACACCAGCTGGTTTATATCTTGGTTTCTTGACAGCAAACACCAAACCAGCAGGTGATAAATTATTAAATTAAAAACTAAGTAGTTGAAGGGGGTATCTGGTGATTAACTTCACTTCATGTCGTTTACTCTTTGGCTGGTATGCATTGTAAGGTACATTGGAACGTATGATGAGACATCACTAAAGCAGCATTTCTAGGTGTAATTTAGCAACCATTTGCTCTTTTTTCTCTACATGTTTACAATGTCTCTGAATTAATGAGAAATTATATTTATAAAGAATGCGTATACCAGTATACTTGGACTTTCAATCTCTAATTCTTCTATAAATCATAAATATATATTTTGTGTTGCAATTCTCATACATCTTATCTTCTTTTCCTAAACAATGTCACTTCTAGATGTATCATAATCAAATTCTCTTCTTTTTGTTCTTTGGTATCAATTATTTTTAATACTCAATCGATAGTTCATCTCACAGGTTGTTAAGGTTGCAGATTTTGGTGTTGCACGTGTTAAAGCTCAGGGTGAAGGAGTTATGACTGCAGAAACTGGAACATATAGGTGGATGGCACCTGAGGTAATCAATTCGATGTTTTTTTTTTTTGCAAGTTTGATTTACTGCATGTGTGAATGACGAGATTTGCAATACCATCCGATATGGTTTTCTGTACCAGACAATTGGCTTGGTATCAAACCTGTATCAGATGGTACAGAGTCTATACCATCTGGTACACCCTATGCAGGGTTGTATCACCCATTACAGTGCAGAACAGGCTATGCAGACAGTTTTTTTTTTCGTTTTTTTTTCTCAAAATGATGTATCTGAATGTTGTTAGCCACATTGTGGAGATGACACTCTATCTCCTCAATTGGTATCAATCTCTCAATTTTGTCTCTATATGCACAAGAGAATGAGGTTGGATGGGACTTACCAGCATTTCTAGAATAGGTTTTATGGGAACTTGAAGGATAAGTTCAGTCATGCACTCTTTAATTAGCTATGTGAAGACAAAGGGCTCACCATTCTGTTTCTCCTTTCTTCGATGTTGAGTTGTAGTTATTCGGATATGGCCATCTGCATTTTATCACCTTCAAGTATTCATTGTGAGCTTGGGTTTTGGTGGAGGAGCAATTCAACATTGTGGAAATGACATCTTCAGTTTTGTTAAATTGATACGATGTTCACCAACCATTTAGTTCTTCCTTTCTTTGTGAGGAGGAAACCTAAAAGCTAGAGGATAAAGAGAAAGGAGAGAGGTGTGAAGAGAGATTGAAGAGAATGAAAGTGGAATGAAAAGGAATTCTAGAAGAGAGGATATTGTTGTGATTGCTCTTACAACTTATGTGTCAAATGGCTACAACAAACTATATTATGGACTTTGATCAAGACCACTACTCTACTGTCCCCCCACCCATAGTTAAGCCTTGTTGGGAGGATTATGGGTATCTAATAGGGGTGCCAGCCCCTTGGCTTAGGTGACAACCTTATGGCTTGGGTGATTGAAAGTTGGTTGGCCAATTAGTTGGTCCCCATGTAGGGTTCCAAATCTATTCTGTTATTCGCCTCTTATCCTGGTCTTCTTCTATGATTATTTGGAGTCCACTTGAATAAGATTTTATAGAGAGTTAGCTGCTCCAATCAAATAAGTTACTAACTCTGAGAAGTGTTCTACATGTAAAATTGGCTAAAATTATAGCATAATGGTAAAACTATATCATCGGTTGGTGCACAGTTGAAACAACATATAATTTCTGATTGATATGGGTAAAATTCCTTTGTTTTTATTGGGGGCCCCTCTGTTTTGCGACCTCCTATGCTGTGGAATAATGCTCACCAATTGATTTATCCTAATTTATTTGAAGCTAGAAATGCTTGATCAGATGTTGCTCTATCAGATAGTAGTGGTTACATGGTGGCATGATCATAATTTCCTGAGAATGGTATTCCTTGATTTATTAATGTCAATGTGCAATATATTGTAGATTCTATTGTTCAATAAATTCATTTTTTTTATTCATTCTGATGTGTCCATCGGTATAAAATTCAAATATAGGTCATTGCACACTGGCCATACAATCATAAGGCTGATGTTTTTAGCTTTGGAGTTGTTCTTTGGGAACTGCTTACATCTAAGGTAAATTCATAATATATATAAATATTTTCTTCGGTATGTTTTACCTTATCTGCTAATCTGATGGTGTCTGAAATTTCTCACATTTGTCCCAGCTACCATATAGTAACCTAACACCACTCCAAGCAGCATTAGGTGTGGTTCTAAAGGTATACACTAGCTCCCAGAGTCATTTGGATGTTCAGCCATCTTATTATTCCTCATAATTATCATTATTACTGCTATTGTCTATTTGTCTTATTGTTATTGTGTCAGTGGACATTGTGAGGCATTACATCCCACCAACAATCTCCCCCCGCAATTAACCCATCATTTTCTATATCTATAGCTCAATAATGACTTGGCATGCTATTTTTGTGACGCCAAGCATATAGGATTTTCATTTTGACTAATGGATGTTCTATTACTAAGTGGACTAGCATGGAGCACTCAGATTGAGACCAATAAATGAACTCATTTTTTCGCTTCAACATTAATGAGAGATTCAAGTGTGATTCATCTGTATTGTGAGAGATAATAATTTTGTTACCTCATCCAATTTTCTAATACTATATGAAGTGGCCATGGGTACTCGCTATCTTGGTTGTGCTATAGATAACTTTTTTCCTGTGGTTGCCATGTCTGTAGCTAAGTTATTGGTTTATCATGCCTTTTATATAATCTTCACTTTCCATTGTAATCTTGTCATGTTTTTCTTATTACAAGATATCCAACTATAGAGAATGTTATAGGACTGCTCCTTGGATAGGCATCAACTGCAAATAAGAAGATAGGATTTTCTGGTGTCGGCTAACCATCAGCTATTATTATCTTGGTTTCAAGCTTTTGCTGAATGCATAGCTTAATCTATCAAGCTTATATTCTTGAACTTTGTGCCAAATATTTGATTCTTCTCAATTTATATTGAGCTTTATATTCAGAACATTGCTGAAAAAGGCTTGAAAGATAATCTCTATGTTAACATCTAAAGTAATCGGTTCCTTCTTTCTGCACAGGGCTTAAGACCTCCGATTCCAGAGAATACTCATCCAAGGCTTGCTGAGCTGATTGAAAAATGCTGGCAACAGGATCCAGCTCGAAGACCTGATTTTTCAAGTATCCTTGAGATACTGCAACGTATAGCCAACGAGGTTAAGTACTAATCAAAAAATGTTATCCCTGTAGTGACTTTGAGGGTTTCCAAATTTTCCAGAGTGATTGTCTTGAACAGGTTGGTTGTGTTACTGAGGATCGTCAGAAAAAGCCATCGGGCAGTATCTTCTCAGTTTTCAGGTGAGGCCACTGAATTAAGTATGCTTCTTGTGGCTTAGTATGTGCACATATCATTGGCATCATTGTGAGCAATTTCCAGTTCTTTGTGGAAGCACCTTAAAGTTGTACAGAGTTCATTTATGACCTTCCAGTTTTTGAGATGTAACTCCCTTATTGTCTTCTCTCTCTCTCTCCATTTAATCCATCATTCCCGGAAGTCATTTACATGTTTTCATCAAAACATGGAATGAAATGTAGATCTACAATGGATAATGCTAAGGTGTGTGAGATGCTTGTCATTCTGTGAACAACAGTCTCTGCTGTTGAATTGTTTGTGCTTGTGAAACTTCTTTGGCTTGACATATCTCAACTTCTGCTTGCAATTTTGTGGTAGAATCAACTATGCACTTCTTTTTTTTCCTTTGCAGGGTTTAATAGTCTATTTATAAAAATAAAAATTTGCTCCTCCAAAATATATTCACAAGAATTAAGAAATTTGAAGAAAAATGAACTCATGGAAAATCAAAATCATTACAAGAGTATATATTGATTTATGAGGATTTGATACTCAGTTTTAAAAAAATTATATTATTAGTTAAATTAAAATTGATTTTACTCGTTGAGTTATGTAAAAAATATATTATTATTATTATTAGTTAAATTAAAAATAATTGATTTTTATTTATATTTTTTTGTAAATTCTTTTTAGATCCCCTATTGCTCTTCTCCTAATAGCACTTGAATTAGTGATCATCGTGATCATTTTTAGAGCGTCCATCATCGCCGTCATATTCTCTCGAGGCTTTGAGTTTACCCACGGCGATGCAACTCGTCCGCTTGGTCCGGATCCTCTCCTCTCTTACGCGTCTCGCCTCTTTCTGCTCTCCCTTCTCCTCCTCCGCGGAAGGAACGGCGCGTCTGCTCCGCGTCGGCGACGTGCTCCGGGAATCGAGGCGGTTCTCTGAGTCGGATGTGGTCCGGTACTCCGAGGTGACCGGCGACCGCAACCCCGTCCACTTCGACGACGCGTTCGCCCGCACCGTCGCCGGCTTCGACGGAGGCCGCGTCGTCCACGGCATGCTAGTCGCCTCGCTCTTCCCTTCCGTCATCGCCTCTCATTTGGTACGTCCTTGTGGTCTTTCCTTTAGGAGAAATGATCGTATTTTTACTCTGCTGGAGTCTTTGTCGAACACCTGAACGGCTAATGTGTTGGTCTCCGAAAGTCAAATTGATTGGAAAGTTGAGCAATTCATGCGAACACATCTTTTGTTTCTTGATTGTCGCTTATTGTGTTGAGGCAACAAGATTGACTCTTTTCACATCAAGGAGAGCTTTGATCATAACCATTTACCTTTATTTAGTTAGGAGTTCAAAGAGACATGAGCTGAAGATCCTTTGGGACTTTTAGCAATCCTGGTTTGTAACCCTGTAATCAGCCTAAACATGCACTATCTCAGATTGTGTCACCAATGCTTGTAATGGCAGATGAGCCGCTAGGGTTTCTGAGTCAACAGAGTGGGTATATGCAAGCCGGTACATTAATTGTTAGGTGTAACATCCACATAGATATAACAAAAGCTTAATTGTATTGTCTGCTGCTTTGGAATATTGTATAGTCTGCTGCAATATTTTCAAATGAAAATTCTTGCACTTCTTGTAAATGTTTTCATTAGTAGTTGTTTTGTTCTTCATGTGATAGATTTATCTTATTGGTTTTACTTTTACAAATGTGCAGCCTGGAGCAGCGTATGTTTCTCAGACTTTGACGTTTAAGTTGCCTGTCTACGTTGGTGATGAGGTTCTTGCTGAAGTGCAAGCAACATATCTGCGGCAATACAAGAACAAATACATGTCCGATACAACGTAGACTTCCTTAATTTCAGAGTTCTGCTTTACTCCTTTTGTCAAAAATCTCTGTTTGCTTTTATGACAGGGTGAAGTTTACTACGAAATGCTTTACAAATGAGGACACTCTTGTTGTCGCGGGGGAAGCAACAACTATTATACCAACACTAACTTTGAGCAAATAACAAGAACTCGCATGCACAGGTATATGATTTCATTAATCATCATTGGTTCTTGTTTCGTCCTACTGGTTTATGCTCACCTTTACATACCACAGTTGCAGAACATAATTTCTTTAAATGTTTGATTTAAATTGTAAAGAATTTAAGTTTGGCATGATGTATGCCTCATATCGAGCACATTCTTTCTTCGATGGTGATTTCTATCACCAAGAGAGAATAGAGAGAAAATAGGGATAAAGGGATGAGAGAAAAGCCAGTGATAGGATAAAAGGAGGGAGAAGAGAGGTAGAGAGTAATTAGAAAGGATATTATAATAAGTTCAGTTTTGATGTTTTTAGGGGATTGCAATAGCATTGTAGTAATCAATGTTTCCTTGAATGCACATGCTACGAGTTTGTTGTTTGTCTACTTGCTAGTATGAATCTGTCTTCATTGCTTGCACCCTAATGTTAATCACATTGAAAATTTTGTCAATTGGAACAAGTGCTTTCTGAAAGTGCTTCTAGCAATTATCTAAGACCATGGACAAATTCAAAGACTTACTAGTATTAGACCATGTGCATTGTCTGCATCCTAATGTTAATCATGATTTAAAATTGTAAATTGGAGATTGCGCTATCTGGTCGGATATACGCTGTTCTTTTAGATTATTGGCATATTCATGTTTCTATTGGGGTATTTGACATGTTCATGCCTTTTATTCTAATTTGTTGTACTTTCCTATAACATTTTCTCTGATATACTTCCATACTCCTCTTTGATAAACTTAGTCTGAGCATCGTGTTTCGGTCATTCTGAGTTGAAGAATTCAAGTTCGTGAACATGGCATGCATCATTTTTTTTGTTCAACATATTTGTCTTAGAATTTTTCCCAAACAACATAGCTAACATTATTTGCATTGCTCAACTTTTTCTGCATCCTATAGCAGATGGAAAGATCTTATCCACTTATGCCTATTACAGAGCATGGCTAGCAATTAAGACTAACAAGTTCAGTAGGACATGGGCGATCAGGTGGATAAAAAGTCCATAAGACATCAACAAAAAGTTCCTTGGGCGATAAATCTTGCAGCTGATGAAGTTGAGTACCTCCACAAAGGCAGTCAAGGATTTGCAGTCTTTCCAAATTGAGTTGCATATTGGATAATGTACTTTGTACTAAACTTTGATTGTTTGTTACATACGGTTTTGTATTTTTCTTGACTGCTTATTTGGTATTTCTCGAAAATAATTCCAGGTTACTGCAATGGACTTATAGAAGTGTTCAGGGCGTAAATCATCAAGTATCATTCAATTTGATATAGGAGGACAAGAGAAGGGAATAAAAGGAGATAAAAGAAGAAGTATAGGAAGGAGAGGAAGAAAAAGAAGAAAGAAAAAAAATAAATAATATAATATAATAATTTTATTTTATTGACATTCTGATGAATCAAACCGTTGGACCGACTAATCATCCAATGAACCAAAGCTTAGCCAGTTAAATTTTCCTTGACATGATGCTGGATTCACATATAAATTCTACTTCTCTAAATCCCCATATATATATATATATATATATATATATATATATATATATATATATATATATATATATATATATATATATATATATATATATATATATATAT